AGACAGAGTAATTTCACCTTTATAAGATGGGGCTGGGAAGCAACCTGCCTTGAACATTTTGAGGAAGACAAATAATTACTCAGTAGATATTTTAAAACAAAAAGGTTTTTAAAAAGCAACATAGTCACATTTAAATTCCCCCGAGTGAAAGAAAACTATGATCACAAACGAAGGGAACAGTATGAAGAACAAAAGAGGTAAACCAATTTGAACTATTTCAATATTTGGAGGCCTCCTTCTAGAACACAACTGTTAAAAGCTGCAGCCTAATTGTCCCAGAGATACAAGTGTTTAAAGTTTGTTTCATCCTCTTCCCAGATACTTGACCCTTTCCTTAGGTAGGTCTGAGTTTGTCATTTAAAACAAGTCTTGCAACATTTTTTAGAAACAAAGCAAAATGTTCCGTAAATAGATGAACTATTCTGCTGAGCAAACATGCCAGAAGGATTTCAGATGAAAACCATGGGGACTATAGTGGCAGCACAAAGTGTCCAAGAAGAAATTAAAAAACAAAACAAACACACACACACACACACACACACACACACAAAAATGACAGCAAGGTCATAAATCATGTGCTTCTGTGACATGAGAACCACCCCAAGGAAACAGACTTCAGATCAGTGGGCACAGGATCAGTTGCACCTCACGCAGAGGAGGAACTGGTAGAGACTGCAAAGAAATGTTTTCAGTCAAAGAGATTACTGGGATCACAAGGTAAGAAAAGTGGTACTGTCAACTTACTTTGTTTCTCTCAAATTGAATGTACCAAGGTTGCGCCTGTAAAGCAAATCCCTCTTGTTCTATGTAACCTCCTCAAAGCAGGAGGCACGGCATTACTGAATTATTCTAACAGGTGCAACCTGACAAAGTATCGTTATGGAATTGCCCCACTGTACTTCAGAGAATGGCCGTGATTCTCTGTATCTATATAACTCCGAAGTCCCTCACGTTGCTGTCTGAATTGGTCAAATTAATGAGCTTTAGGCTAAGGATAAGAACACAGTTTTGTTTTTGTTCTTTTTTTTTTTTCCCCAAAAATGAAAAAACCCCAACATTAGAAGTATGATCACCTAAGCAGTTCTGGCACTTCCATGCAAATCCCTATCACTTACGATGCTAGTTGGAAACACCCCATCCTCACAAGCTGACCCTCAGTATTTCTGCAGCGGGAGCCCTGACAGCTGTACTTTTAATAAGTATCCTAAAACGTGGTAATTGAATGATTCTCAAATGATATCCTACAAATGCTGGTTTACAGCAGTGACTTCCAACATTTTTTCAGCTCAATTCTTTTTTCCACATCAAGTCTTATTTGGACATCCAGATACACAAATGAAGGCAGAGTGGCTGTGTGGGCGCTAGGAGCCAGTTTGAAAACTACTGTTTTAGAAGGCACAGTGCTGGTAATGGGACCCAGAGCTGGGCTTCACCACTCCTGGGTCTCAGTTTCCTTATTTATTTATTTACTTTTTAAAGATTTTTGTCAGAGAGAGAGAGAGAGTACAAGAGCAAGTGAGCACAAACGGGGGAGTGGTAGGCAGAGGGAGAAGCAAGCTCCCCGCTGAGCAAGGAGCCTGACATGGGGCTCGATCCCAGGACCCTGGGATCATGACCTGAGCCTAAGGCAGAGGTTTAACCGACTGAGCCACCCAGGCGTCCCTCAGTTTCCTTATTTATAAAACAGTTTGTCCAGATTGTCTCTAAATTCCCTTTCAGCTCCAGTACCCTCTGATCCCACCACAGCACTACTACCACTTCTAATAGCTAATATTTAGCAGGCACTTGCTGTGTTCCTAACACTGTTCTACTGATTCGATCCTTATAATCACTCTATGAAGTACTATTAATCTTAATACTTATAAGGAAACTGAGGCCCAAAGAAGTTATAGGACAATAACTGTGATAAAAATAAATTTACATATACATTCTCTTATTTAATCTATAAGATAAAATTGAGAAGTAGAAACAGATTTAGAGAGGTTAGTTATTTACGGTCAAAAAGCTGGGATTTAAATTCAGGTCTACCAAATTCCAAAATCCATTCCTTAACCAATATATTGGCACAGGTTGGTCCTACATGAAATCTTTTAAATGGCATCCATGTATGTGTTGTTATTGTGGTATTAATGATATGCATTCATATTTTTATGGAGATAATTTATCTCCCAAACTAGATCATGAACATTTTGAGGTCAGGGATTATTCTTCTATTTCCTACTCTATGAAATACGGGTTGTGAATTATGTAGGTCTTTATTCAGTAGGAAGTAATCTGAGTCCTATGTTTTTGGTGGCGGGGAGAGAGAAAGAGAGGGGGGAGGCATAGAGAGGGAGAGAGACTCCTAAGCAGGATCCACACCCAGTGTGGAGCCCAACATGGGACTCGATCTCACAACTCTGAGATCAAGGCCTGAGCTGAAAACAAGAGTCAGACACCTAACCGACTGAGCCCCTCAGTCACCCCTGAGTCCTATTTTTTACTAACTTGATTTTTTTTCAATAATCCAAAGTAAACACACTAATTTCCCTAGATCAACTCTTGAAATTAAAAAAATTTCCCTGAGTCATTTGCTGGAAGGGAGAAAAAAAACCTCTTTTTTCAGTCTAATGATTTTACATTTGCTTTCTTGGGGTGAGGATTTATCTTTTAGTGTCAATATTAATAAATATCTCTTTTCCAGGCTCTTCTTTCTCAGTAATGCTTCTTGCCATTTTTCATTGTATCAGCAGATAGGTACCAGACTGAAAATAAACAGATGGTCAAAGACAAGGACGGAAAACCTTGGAAGGTGCTTGTAATACCTACTTACACCACTTGAAAAAACTGGTTCGACATTTCACAGGAAGTAATGCTCATTAAATAGTTTTCCTTAAACACTTTGCAAGTAATAATGTGTATAAGTAATTTTTCTTAAATACCATGTTAATTTTGGATATGCTTGGCCTGTGGTCAAATATACCATCATCTTCCAACTATGATTCATTGCCAATATACTTGACATCTGCTCCTTAGGACCCCAGCAGATCTCCACTGATCATCCTCAGCTCCACAGTTACACCAGCAGCCCCATGAGAGCTGTAACTTCCCAGCTGTGAACTACTTTATGCATCATATTTTTGAGACTCATGTTAATCTGACATCCATATAAATTTATGTAACATAGATAAAGCTAGTCATAATAAGAATTGGGACTAAATTAGGATCAAGACACTTTGGTCTCCAAACTTTGACTGAACAGACCATCTAGAGCAGTAGTTCTTAAATCTTCTTTCAGAAATTTCTTTAAAATGTAGATGCCTGGAGCCCTTCCTCAGACCTATCATTGTATCCTTCTCTTAGAGTGCAGTCCAGACACCTGTAATTTTAATAAGCACCACAGGAGATCATGATGCTTACCACAGTGAAGCACATTAGGTCTTCATTCACTGAACGAACGTTTTTTACCAATGAGTGCCTTTTACCAATATAAAATTTATAATATAAGCATATATTTTCTTTTTAGTATAGTTTCTTGGGTCACAGATTAATAAGCAACTTGAAGAAGAGGTTTATGTGTACATTCTTTGAAAAACAAAACAAAACAAAACAGGGGTGACTGGGTGGCTCAGTTGATTGAGCATCTGACTCTTGGTTTCAGCTCAGGTCATGATCTCAGGTTTTGAGCCCCGCATCGGGCTCTGTGCTTTGTGCAGAGTCTGCTTGAGATTCTCTGCCTCTCCCTCTGTCCCTGTGCTTGTGCTTGCTTCTTAAATAAATAAAATCTTTGAAAAACAAACAAAAACTTTCCTCACCTCATCCTTAATACCTAGCTGGGCACATAGCAGGCAAATGCTACCCTGTTTTGATCACCAGCCCCTCAAATAAAATGTGTTGATATATCTTCAGCTACTGCATCAGAAAATTCTTTTTAAACCTGGACCCTCTAGACATCCTTCTAAGGAATCCACATAAACTATGTGTGTGTGTGTTTGTGTGTGTGTATGTTACTAACTGTATTGAGGCTAAGCCAGAAAGACTCTGACCATAGAATTAAACTTCTGTTTTGAAATTTGGCAATAAACCCCAAATAAAACATAAACCAGGAAATAAATACAAGAATAGGGAAAACAAGTATCTCAACAAATATAATTTTCTTTCTTTTCTCCATTTCATGACCCTTATTTCTTCCCTATGCTCGTATCATCTGTTCTCTAGAGAATTTTGAAATAAAAGAATGCCATTTGGCGATTCTGAACCACGCACTTACAAAAAATGCTTCTCAAAGTTTGCTCATCCTGAAGTCATACATTGTAGCTCAAATGGGCATGTAAAATCTCCCCTAGATCAGGAGAGCTGGGTAGAATGCATTCCAGATGCTGTATTATCTCTCTCTCCTTGGTACGCATTTTAAGAGAATCATGGCATGAAGCTAGCCATGACCAAGGGGCACTGGTGTAAAATGGCTTTTGCTGAGGGATGAGTTCCAATGTGACAAATGTGGGAGATGAGTCTGTTCAACATTTGGGTAACAAATCACTTCTCCAGCTATGTTCCCAGAGGGAGCACATACCCACCCACATGTGATGGGGTCTTCATGCTGTTGGAAACGGAAGAATGGCTATCTCAGCTTTTTTTTTGTTAGGCTTGTTAGAGAAGAGAAGGAAGGCATGGAGGGGGAAAAAGACACACTAAGAAACCCACTACAGAGATAATGGGGAACAAGCTAGTGCTGCCACATCAGCACACAGAGAACTCCAGTGTCCTTCGCTGTCTGTGACGGAGATGAAAAAAATGAGCAAAGAAACAAAGTCACTGTGTGATATTACCAATTTTACCAACAGATTCTCCTTGATAGTAATATCTCCCTACTTGCTCACTATACACCCTTTAGAATAACTCACTGATTTTTTTCTTTGTGATGGAAAAATACTAACCTGGGACAAGAAAAAAATGAACTCTTTTTCAAAAAAACACAAGGAAAAAAAACCCCACAGCTATTGAAAGCATTCCTTACTTACCAATTTTGTAACGTCTTTCACATCATCAGTTACACGGTTCCTGCAGATCCCTTTAGTTTTGACCAGAGGATTAAATAGGAGTAGTTGAAGATAAATGCAAGTGATAATCCAAGTCTAAATGAAAACAGAAAAATTGCTGGTGATGATCAGTTAACATCTGCAATCACTCAAGCTCTTACATCTTTTATCTTAATGTGGAAAAGACAATCTACATTAAAAAAAAAAATGCTACCAGCTTAAATACAATTCAATCTTGAGTAATTGAAGTATGCTCACCAAATTTTTAAAAAATTGTCCGTTAAAATGTGGTTTGGGTTTTTCATTTCTATGACATTACTGTTTACTTTTGTCAAAAGCATTCGAGAGCCAATTTCTTAATGGGAATTAGGAATGAACGTGCAGCAACACATAAAGGATCTACCACTTGAGGTGTTTTCTAAAAATTAGGAATGCTTAAAATTCATACCTCAAGGCACTAAAAGAAACTTTCTCTACTTTAAGTGTAGACTGTTTGGCAAGTAGCAGCAAACCTGAGCAGTGCTTTAAATCCAATAGTGTAGGACAGTACACCAAAGTGAGGGAGAGAGATGTATTTTTAGATTTAGGAGAGAATTTAACCTTTTATGAGACATCAAATGAGTCAGTTTTTAATCACAGCTTTTTAACCATTTACTATGGAAGAACATTTCTTAGTGAATAGGAAGAAATTCTTGAACCCTAGCGTGAGGTAATCACCTACACAACGTGCACTTACACACATCTCTCCTTGAAAATAACACAACCATGTTTTATAGTTACTTCTATGCAGGACTTGTTTTTTCTTATTATACTATATTTGAGGTTTTTAAGAAATTGGGCATCCAATTCTCTTTTTTTTAGTAACTTGAGAGCCCATAACACAGCACCTTGCATATTAAAAGTTCTTAATAAATATTTGCTGGATGAATCAGTGACAAAGGTAAAAATGATCTAATGCTTCAAATTCAAATCCATTTTATTGACCAAATATTATGAGATAGGGACTGTGACAGTCACTAGAGAAACAAAGGTGATGAAGGTGCCTTTGCAACTCAGAGGCAGGTACATAAATAAAATGCATACTCTATGATAAATGCTTTGGGAACACAAAGGAGGAAGCAATTAATCAATTAACCTCAAGGAGGAGAACCTTGGCAGGAAGACCATGCCAAGAAAAGCCAGTGAGAAAATGTGACTCTGGCTGGCTTTTGGAGGATAAGGAGGAGTTTGTAAGAGTTGACAAGGAAGGGATGAAAATTCCAGAAAAGACAAACAGCATGAGCAGAGGCATGGAGATGTGAAGATATTTTAAAATATCAGAGTTCTTTTATGAGTTAACATTCATTTATGGCATCTTAAAATTACACAAAGTCCATCTGCGCATGGCTAGAAATCTTCCCTATTTATGTAGCTGCCATGTATTAAAAAAAAAAAACAAAAACCAACTGGGGCGCCTGGGTGGCTCAGTCGTTTAGCGTCTGCCTTCGGCTTGGGTCATGGTCCCAGGGTCCTGGGATCGAGCCCCATGTCAGGCTCCCTGTGGGGTGGGAGGCCTGCTTCTCCCTCTCTCTCTCCCTCTGCTTGTGTTCCCTCTCTCGCTGTGTCTCTCTCTGTCAAATAAATAAAATCTTTAAAAAAAAAAACAAAACAAAAAAACAAACGGATTATTTTCCACTAATACCTGCATGCTAACTAGATATTACACTGGACCAGATGATGATTACCATTTACTGAAATTTCTGAGACTACAATGCGACCTACCTGGCTTGTGAAAAAATTCAAACTTTTTTATTGTTTTACCAATGTGATCTATTTTAGCAGTAATCCCGGTTTAAGTTTGGTTAAAGCTCCTTTCAGCACTGTGGGGTCACACTCTTCATAGCACCCTCTCCCTTGGACTGAAATGAAGACTAAATTGTGCAAATGATTTCTTGGAACCAACCAGGATGTTCTTCGGTAAGTGGTAAATAAACTGTGGTATATTGGACGATGGAATATTATTCAGTACTAAAAAGAAACCAGCTATCAAGCCATGAAAAGACATGGAGGCAACTTCAATGTATATTATTAAATGAAAGAAGCCAATCCAAAAAGGCTACATACTCTACGATTCCAACTATTACGACATACTGGAAAAGGCACAACTGTGGAAATAGCAAAAAGATCAGTGGTTGCCAGAGGCTGTAGGGGGAGGCATGAAAAGGTGGAATACAGGATTTTGGGGGCAGTGAAAATACTCTGTATAATGGTAGGTATGTCATTATACATTTGTCCTAACTCACAGAAGGTATAACACCAAGAGTAAACCCAGTGTAAACTATGAACTTTGGATGATTAAGATGTATCTGTGTAGATTTATCAATTGTAACAAATATACCACTCTGTAAATGTGTAGGGGCAGGGAGCATAGGGGAAATCTCTATAGTTTCCTCTCAGTTTTGCTGTGAACCTAAAACTGTTTAAAAAAAAAAAAGGGCTTTTAAAAAAAAAAGTCATGTTGAGGGCCCCTGGGTGGCTCAGTCCATTAAGCATCTGCCTTAGGCTCAGGTCATGATCCTAGGGTCTTAGAATCGAGCCCCACGTTGGGCTCCCTGCTCAGCGGGAAGCCTGCTTCTCCCTCTCCTCCCACTCATGTTCTCTGTCACTATCTCGGTCTCTTTCTTTCTCTCAAATAAATAATTTTCTTAAAAAATCACTTTGATTGCTGTGGTGAGAACCAACTTTAGGGTAGCAAGAGGTAGAAACAGACCAGTTAGGGGCTCTTGTTATAATCCAAGCAAGAAAGGGTTGTAGCAATGCACTGACCAGAAGTGGTTAGATTCTGGGTATCTCCTGTAGGCTCAGCCCCAGGAAGATTTCCTGAGAGTCGGAATGTGATTTGAAAGAGTCAAAGAAGACTCCAAGGATTTTGGCTTGAGCAAATGGAAGGATGGTGTTGCCATCAACTGATATGGGGAAGGCTCAGGGTAGAGAAGGCCTGGAGGGGAGATCAGGAGCTGAATTTTGAGTGTGCTAAATTTGAAATGTCTTTGAGATACCTTAGGGAGGATATTAGAGGTCATGATATTTGAATCTGGATTTAGAAGGGAAGTTTGGGCTAGATATATAAATGATAGCCTTTGATGTATAAATGGAATTTATTCATCATTCAAAAGAGTGGATGAGCCCATCCAGGGAGTGAGGACAGACAGAAACAAGAACAAAGAATTGAGTCCTATGCTGCTCTAACTGGAAGAGGTCTGAGAGAAGATTTAGAACTCACAAAAGAGCTGGGGAGCTTGAGAGAGAAGCCAAAGGAGTAGGAGGAAGCCAAGTTTAAAAAAAGGAAAAATTACCTGGAGGAGGAGGTCAAACTATGTCAAATACTTGTAATAGGTCAAGTAAGAGGAGAACCGAGAACTGACCCCTGGATGTGACAGGATCCAGCTCCCTGGTGACATTAATAAGAACATTTTTACTGAAGCAGTTATGGGAAAAAGCCAGTCTGCAGTGAGTTTAAGAGAACATAAGAGAGTAATTAGAAACCGTGAATGTAGATAGCTCTTTTAAAGAGTTGTCCTTCAAAGGAGAGCAAACAGACAAAAGAATAAATAAATAAAAACAAAGTGGGGTAGCAACTGGCAAGGACTTGGGGCGAGGGGCGAGTTTTCTCTGTAAGCTGATAGAAACATCAGGTTGTCCATATGCCTGTGTGGATGATGCAGCAGGTGGGTGTAACTGGCGACGTGGATTAGAAGAGAGGCAACTGCTTGAGCAATGGTCTTGAAAAGGCAAGAAGAAGTAAGATCTAGCTGTCAATCCTAGGGCCTGGCTTTAAATCTAGCTGTCAATCACAGGGCCTGGCTTTAAATAAGAGCATGTACAGTTCATCAGTACTATCAGTCAAGATGCTGAAAAATTGAGTGCAGATGCTGGTGTTGTTTCAACAATACAGTGAATAATGGCTACCATTTACTGAACATTTATTATGTACCAAACACTTTGTATATCTTATCACAAACTTTAAGTTTCATATATCCTAATTATTTTTTTATTTAAAATTTTTTTTTTAAGATTTTATTTATTTATTTGAGAGAGTGAGAGAGAGAGAGAGAGATCATGAGCAGGTGGAAGGATAGAGGGAGAAGCAGACTCTCCTCTGAGCGGAGAGCCTGATGCGGGGCTCGATCCCAGGACCCCAGGATCATGACCTGCGCTGAAGGCAGACGCTTAACCCACTGAGCCATCTAGGTGCCCTTTTTTTTTAAAAAAAAATTTTTTTAAGATTTTATTCAAATATTGTCATTTTAAAGATGAAGAAATTGAGCTACAGAAAGATTTGGGACTTCTAAGTGATAAAAAACAGATCTGTCCAATTCTAAATCCTGCCCTCCATCCGATACCGTCACAGCATTACCACAAGGGCGTCAGATCACTGGCCAGGGCTCCAAACAGCATAGCTCCAAAACTTCAGTAATTTTTCAGATATCATGCATATGAAGACAAGTGTGTTCCATAATCCATGCCACAGCAGAATAGTCTACATTTTTCAGGATACCATAATTTTTAATATATGTTCTATCATAGTTTTAACAAATATTCTAATACAGACATCTATAATAATTGCAAAACAATCTCACCAGGGTAGCCTCCATATCCTTTTTTGCATCAGTTATATACAAACACCTGTAAAGATAGGATTTTGCTCATTTTATAGGAATCTATTTGGCTAGGGCTAAAATTAAATCTGTTAATACATTCACACATCTCTGACAAACTATTTCTTGAAGCACTTCATTTAAAGCTGTTACATAAACTTGTAATTTATTTTTGTATATACTTAGCTAGTAGTATGGGATATTCGCCTTTTGTAACAACTGAACAATTCACTCTGGTGTAACTAAACATTAGAACAGAGGAGGAGTCATGGGAATAATGTCCCTCATCAGTATTCATGTGAGAGGAGAGGGCTGAAATGCAGAGCTTACTTCTTTATATGGAAAAGTAATTTTTCAGTATTAGTCTATATAGATTATAGACATTTTTCTAATATATAGTACACACATTTCCTTTATTTCTTAAACAGTGGGTAGAAGTATTAAACCTTGCTTTTTTTG